CATGTATAGTTAAAAACTAAAGGATTTAATCATTAATCTACCACTTCAAGCCCTGTCTTTAATTTATAGGCAATATGATTTTTTCATCTCATCAGAACATTATATATAGCTTTGTACATATTGGATTCAACATTTACATATATGATATTTTTATCATGAGCCTTTTGATTTCGACCTACTTTTAGGAACATCATGATCGTGATCTCTTCCTCTACATTGCATACAGTGATGAAAGTATATACGGATCAGTGGAAGACTGCATATCTTCATGAAAATTCAATATTGGTCAAGGTCCTATTTTCAAAAGTTTATTGGGTCTGTGTTTCTTCCCACATCACTCTACCAATATATCTATTGTTACCACACATACGCAACATATGATCAGTCATTTCCGTTGATTTTTTTCAGTCATGTTTTCTTTAAAACTTACACAGTGTTTTAAGTATTCATCTAATAACATTAATAATTATGTGTATTTCACCTTTTTTTCTTGTTATTTATTAATTAAGAGTTATTAAGTGGAGTTCGCATTTTGTGCAAAACAGTTATTGTGAATGACATTCATTATTTTCATTTTCAGTAATTTGACTGAAGACGAAATACATTTTGTAAAAGCGTACATATTTGTTCTTTTTTGGCTTGTTTGATATGAGTTCGTGAATTTTTGGATAACAAGGTTTAATGTACGTGGTGTCACGTAGCATTATTATGACTTGCTAACCAATGGAGTTCTGTTGCGAATCAGAATTTCGTAGGTTGTGTCAGTTAAGTCACTAGTTATGTTATTTTTCAGTGTTGGTTGAAGTCTAAGTCTAGGGGTTAACGGTTGCTTTTGGTTTTAATGTAGGATTGTAAGGCTTCATCGGTGTAAGCAGGTAACATAAAGAGATTGGAAGTATACCTAATCAATCGTGACATTAGAGTATCCATTTCGTATGAGTGAATAAGTTTAGAGGTGCAATATAATGATAGTGGGTCATTTGATTAATTAGAAATCTTCCGGAATCATCGGAGATATACCATTAAATATTAAACCATCATTTATTTTATAGTATGATAATAACTGACTTCAAGGTTAGATGAGCGCAATTTTGCCTTTGAAACGTGAATTTAGTGAGGTAATTAAACTTCACTACTACTGGCTTTATGTATTTATTTATTGGAGGAAATTAAAACAATGACTCCATGTCATCAATATGACTTACAGGGTTGTATAATATAGTTTTAAATCATCAATATTCTCTCATAGTCTATACCACCAAACTTAGTTGGACGTAGAATCTGGTAATTGCGAATTAGTTGTTAATGTCAGCTAGTTATAAACCTACTATTAACTTTGCTTCGTTTCTATAGAAAACATAACCACTGAAGATATCTATATGATGATTGATCGTACAGTATATCTTATAATCTGGGATGATGTACAGTGCAATAAATGATAATTAACCAAAATAAAAATTAGGCGATAGGAAAAAAATTGGTTTGAGTTGTGTTGAATTAAAGAATGCTGTTTGGAAATATGCAAACAAAGTTAATGTACATGTGTTATATTTCTAGTCTTCTAAACCTATTGTTTCTTATTAATAGTTGGGTAAATTTAGGAACTCAATAGTCCTGTCAGTCATCCACTTGCCTGTTTCAGTTTGTGTTTGTGGAGATTCTTGTTTATTATTGAGGATCATAAACCAAGCTGGGTTAGACAATTAATAAAAATCAGCAAGCACTGGATATCGACTCAGTTGTTTGGATGTTAAGGTTTCACCTTGAGACGTGAAAGTCCTCGGTTGGATCATCGGTATGGTATTGAATGGACACCGTTAAATAGTCCTATACTAGGGTAAAACTGTTGTCCTGGTTTATAGTGGTTGCCTCAAGTTATGTGCTTCAGTTTCGCAATATCAGTATTCTAAAGATTTCATTTTACGCTTATTCACATCAAATGGTTATAAGCTAAACGAGTTCACGTCCAAATAATTTTGATCAATGAATACTTTATACTGTTGCCCTTAAAGCCTTACACCTTAATATTGACTTTGCCTATTCACATCGTGTTTCTAAAATCCTGATGCTTATTCGCCTGTAGTTATATTTATGTTGAATCTCACTGACCATATTTCATTTGTGTAGTCATTAACTACTGATCAGGTTGATAAGTGCAGATTACCTGATTGGAATCCGTCTGATTATCGTGATCAAATCACTGAAGATATTGGATGACATGACTCAGAATCAGTCGTAGTGGTGCAGATACATTCAATTTTTTGTTTTCCCTTGGATCAAAGTTGTTACATACTTTTGGTTCCGTGAATTCAATCTTGGATCATATTACCTAAAGCTAATCTCTTCTATTATCACTGGTACGGCTACTACTTCTGTTACGGCATTTTTCTTAAGATTTTCATCTCTGTGCTAATATGATGTACCAACATATGTGCCAGCTTCTATGTTACTTGTGACTGATTAACTGACGGAGTTGTGAAGCAGAATACTAATCACTTCTAAATATTAATGTGTCTTGTTATTCATTCAGCACAGTATTTACATATATCCATGTTCATAAATTTAACATGTGACAATATTTTTGAGTGGTTATACTTTAATTGTTTGTTTATCAAATTCTTCTGTGAATGTATATGGAATTTTATCATGTAATTTTCGATAATTATAGTTCATCGGTTCAAGTTATTATAATTTAGAGGGGCCAAGAGTCCGCGAAGTAAAGTAATTATGAGTCCATTTTGTACCTGATAACATGAGTGATTGTATTACCTGTTTACCAACATTCCCAGCTGTCCCCCTCCAATGTTCTTATGATCTTTTGCATATTTGGTTAGTTTAACAATCTATTGATATGAAGCGAATATTAGAGAAACTGAATCTACTTTACAGACCTATTATTTCTTTTGTTGTATAATTATTAGATAATTGGATTATTATATTTCTATTCTTGGTATTGTAAATTTCTGTTAGATCCACCAACTATTGTTATACTTCCTACCATTTTTTAATTATTACTGATTAGTTGTGTACCATTGTCTTTCACTTATATGGCATCATCGTGTGCAAAGTATTTCTTAATCGGAGTGCATTGCTGTCTGACGATCCATGCATATGAACTGATGAGTGTTTGAGATAAATATGCTAGGTTCCCTCAATATAGTAATAGAAGCTCGCCTGACTTGTTCTCCTATTCTAACTGGAGACTAATGGTAGAAAGTATGCGTACCGGTGGATCAATAAGAGCTAAGATTATATCGGCTCCTGTTCAAGGTTAATTTCGACAGTTGTAATATATCAAAGCGTAGGACACTAGGCTATAGACGAAATAGTACACGTGGGGTAGAGAAATTATGGCCAGAATTCTAAAAGACAGATTTTCTAGATGTCGATTGACATTCTCATTCACAGCACAGTTATATCAATTTCAGTGTTAGATAAAGCAATTTACATTTTACACGATTTGGACACATGTAGATTCAGTGTTCTACTGTCTATCTTTCGTACGAACAGTTTTTAATCATTCATTAATGCCTAATAATAAGATGGTATCTATTTTATCATTAAATGTTTCCCCTTTGGTATGTTACGAAAATTCAGTGCTTTGCGTTTCACTTTTTCATATAATAAATACTAGTAAACTAATTACATTTTGAATGATTCATGGGTTTTCCAAATTTTTTGTTGTTACATGTATCAGCTGATTGTTCATTCCATAAACGTATGATTTTGTTTGATCGAAGTATAATAATTGTTATATTTTATGAATCCTTTATTAGTTTTACACTCCCTTTCATTTGTATTTTGACTTTTTTAATGTAATAATAAATCGACTACCTAGTTTACAGTGTGTGATCTGTAAGGAAGTCAGATGACTACTTTTTTATTAAGCAGTTGATAGTATTGTTTTATTTGTGTATATCTATATGCCTGGTAGCTTAGACTGTTTACTTGATGTGTATTGCCTTATCATTTGTTTGGTGATATAAATTCTACATCTAAGTTATTCAAAAAATATTAAACTTATTCAATACAATCTAGGCGGTTAATAGATATATTTAGAAATAGTTACTTATAGTCAGTTGCTTCATACGTCGGGTATGACAGAAGTAATCTAGAAGAAATTTAAGAGCCTCTAAATCAAAAGATGTTATTAGTTCATTAACTCATTGACTTTTTGTTTGAGTCGTGCTGGTATATGGCAGTCCATCTGATTGTAGTTTACACCATAACCACGGTCATAGGCTTCAGGTAATATGACTTGAAATCGATCACTGACTCATGCCCCTTTTATCTTCTCCCAAAACATTAGGTTCAAGTACTTCCTCATACATACTTCATTTTCACTCGTTCTTTTCGAACCATACTTTCAGTGTTGATGTTTCTTAACTGTCATTGATATCACCATTATTTCGATTCCTCTGCTATTCATCTTGTCAATTTTGTCTCTTTATGCTGGTGTAGCGTGGCTAGTTGAGCCTATTAATCCTTTTTACCAGACTTTACGGTGATTATGACTGACTGTACATTTAAAGTGTGATTATATTTGGTCTGAGGAATCGGTAATCGCAAGGAAGTATATCAATAACTAGTTTTTTTTCAAAGAATCAACTAGTGTTTTGCATGAAGTAGAGTTTCGCAATTTATATTTATAAACTGATGTCGATTCATCCATAGTTTAACTAATGACTTCTTGTCTGCCATAGAAATAATAGCATATTCATGGAAAGCAGTTTCTGAAACTCTATTTTTGTATTATGATATTGTTGAAGGAACCTAATACATGCAGTTATAACGTATCGAAAACAATTAGATCACATAGACTGGCATTTTGTCGAATAACCATTTTGATTCTCCCGTTATCGTACTGTAAGTATCAAATGTAAAAGATACCTGGTAAATAATAGTTTTTTTAGATTTCTTTAGATTCTATAATGTTTAACTTATAGATGAGAAAGACTAACCTCTATTCATTACTGATTATTATTATTTGTACGTTATAGTACAATACCTATGGTTACATCATTTATTTCAACATTGAATATAAATACTGGTGTAGCGCAACTTAGCGCCTGGCTTACTAGTCAAGCTATTCATGTACCTCCTGGTTGGATTGATGCTTGTGTGGCTTGGCTTGCTGAAGAGCATGGAGGTATTGATGCGTGTAATCATCTTACAAAGTCTGATTGGTGTCAATTAATATATGAGCAATGGCTTCATTCTGATTTGAAGCAGTTAGAATGTCCAGTTCTACCGTCAACTATATCTACTTCAAGAAATCCCCATGACAATTCGCTTAGCAGTGGTACTGACGCAAATACCATGAATTCACCTGCACTTAAGCTGGATGGTGAACTTTGTCTCCAAGTAAGCTTTGTGATACAACTCATTATTGAATTTGTATGTTTAATTTTGTAAACGTTTATTATTCTAAATCGATCAACATTGTGAATACATTTAAAACATCAAGTAATACATATCTATTAGTTGGTAAAGTTATCAGTTCAGTATGATCTACTTTAGCGAGACACATACTTAAAATGTTTAGTCGTATCGATTTGATTTGTTGACAATAGTAATTATGGTGTTTATGAACATTAGGTTTAACATTATTTCAATCAACTGCCTACTTATTTTATGTGATGCACAATGGCTTAGTGACTAAACTATCCTACTTTCAGCCAGTAGGTAGTAGGTTTGAAATTCTTTTCTGTCTACTTTAGTATGGGTAGCCGAATAGTATTACTAGCTTTCATACACGGAAAGTCCAGTTAAAAGTCCCGAGCACATGGAATTGTACTTGATCAATCAATTATACTAATTAACTGATTATCTTTTTTGAAATATTATGGTCGCTCAATAAGGCCTATTCGTCCTGATTCTTGATAACTGTCAAAATGTAGTTAACAAATTTTCTGAGACTGTATGAGTGGTATGGTGTGCCAAAAATTAAGCCTAATAGTTAAGCATTAACTCTGTTAAAGAGTGACTTGTGGTTCCTATGTTCTTAGACTGTCTATTTATTAAGTGACTTCTAATCATGTTTATACTTATTTTCAACATCTTGAATATAAGTGCATTATTTCATTAGGAAAATAAACCTGTTCTACTGAACAACTGTCTTATCTTCAGATATCAGTATGATTGATGACTCACATCAATAGTTCAGTTTCGTAAGTATCCATCACTTAACTACGTATTGTCATATAATTGCATATCATCTATCAATCGACATTTTATCCACTCACTTTAATAACAAATTTCGTCCATAAAATCCCACACCATTACGGTACGATTTATATAGTCGATTTGTCTACAACTGTACTATATTTGCGAGTGTTAACTTTTTCTCATTGAAACAAAAATTCTAAAAATGTTATAATTGATAATTCATTGATTTACTTGTTTAATTTAGGTTGTCAATTTATTCAACATAGGTGAATCATATTATGGTCAACTGAGACGACATGAGGGTAATTTGAGCGTGAATCTACCTTCATTGGAAGTAGACGGTGAAAATAATCTAGATGGACATACTACACAAATGACACAAGCTTTTAGTCAATATCTTAATCAAAGTCGTAAGTAGATTATGTTATATATTTTCTACATTGTTCTTGATTAAATGGCAAAATCTACTTCGATAGTCAATTGCAAATGCTTGATTAAAATCTATTGATCTGATGATTTTGTGGTAGATATATTACTCAGTTGCTCTCAGTGAATCAATAGAAGTGTGTTTAATCATGTTACTTAATGATTGGTAATCCAATTAATCGTCTTTCCGCTCAAACTCAAGGTTTAGGTGTGCAAGCATCTATCAAACATTGAAGCATATTAATTTTTTTGTGTGGATAAAGTGAGTAAACATACTACTCAACTGCTCGAAATAAGCGGAGGGTATTGAAACATTGTTTACATCGCTTAAATACTAATCTTCACATATATCCAGTACGTCATTATTCTCTACCTTTAAACATATTTTTTTCGTGTTCTCTTCTCATATTTCTGTTGAAGCAACTCAAACAAACAATTTTAGACAGTCAACAATGGCCAATTGTCTCACTCTATTCCTTACTGATGGAGTAAATGAAATCAAAGTTATTGAATTTGGCACCCAATCCACAAGATCACGATCTTCTTTACCTTTTAAAGAATTATCAAAAAAACTTCGACCTGGAGTAAAAGTTCGTCTACATGGACCATTACTTTTACGTAATAACGTCTTACTTGTTCCTCCCGGTGCTTTACAGTCACTATCAAGCCATCAATTGGAAGTTTTAGGCGGTGAGGTAACTAATATCTATGTGTATGGTTTTAGTTTTTTACGGGGATGTCACCTTGTGAACTCTATTTTTACATGACGATAGGATCTGTACTCCCTATAGATATGTTAATAATCTTATAAGCTTTAAACGTCTCCACTACAAGTAGAGCAAGGTCACAAAATCTCAATAGATACTTGCCAAAGTCCCAGTAATATTCTTTACTTGTTGAAAAATGCATTTATGTAAGGTCCTCCTGCCCTCAAACTCCATTTTCAGCTATGGTTTTAAATGAAAGTCAGCTGTTGTTACTTCAACAGCTAATTTTTTAAGTTTAACAACTCTCAATAGTCAATCTTATGTTGATTCTCTTATTAATGTAAACACATATTTCTCGAGTTTAAGGTTCATGATACATGAAATACATTCAAAATGTTGTATACTTTGTCAGTCAAATAAGCTGAGAAAAGCAAGTCATTTTAATAATTTTTTCATCAATAAAAAGTGAAATTACAAAACCGTATTTGACAAACAAATATCTTATTCCGAAAAACTTAATTATCACTCCTATTCAACTTGTGAAGTGCGATGATTAAAGTTAAATGGTAGATTTGTGGTTCGGTTGGATTCAAACTATATCTGCCTACAGTCAATCGGTTGGTCATAATATATATAGATCCTGACATAAATGTATCTCGGCTTAAGCTGGCACATCATACCAATACCACACATCAAGGGGAGTCGAAATGAAAGAGTAAAGCTTAACGTGGAGAATATGATTCGGTAATACAGAGTTAAATAAAAGAGAGTAGAAATTATGAAATGGTATTAAAACTCAAGATTGGTAAGAAAACAAAAAAAAACTCATTTGGTCACCGTAACCGATTCTGTGTGCTGTCTGTTTATTAAGTAATATATTATCTTTCGATACAAAAAGGGTCATAAAACAACAACAGAGACCGAACAATTACAATCATGATTTTCAGCACTTGAAAATCATAAACCCTTGCTAATACTTTCCCAGTCGTTGAACACGTTAATAGCTATGTATCGTTACCAGTCCTTCAGGTTGTACATATCACAATAGGAAATTATAATCACCCGACTAAAACCTAGAGAAAATTTACAATATTTTTACTGAACCCATTTTATTCTGCATCACTCATTGTTCCTGCCGTATTCATATGAAAAGTTTACTTTTACTTTGGCTAAATTGAACAATATTGATCAAATTAAAACAGTGATAAGAATGGCTTATAATCTAGTACTAAAGTTCGATCGATTAAAATATGATTTACCGAATATTTAATAGTTCATTTTTGATAAAGTTCAATCCTTCTTCTTTTTTATGGATATCCTTTCAATGTGATCAGAAATGTGCAAATGTTAGTTTGCTCATACTCACTGACTAACTCTTTTATTTATGTGAAATAATTTATGCGATGTTTATCAAAAAACCTTTTCTAATGAGTTCATAGTTTGTTTGTTGTTATGAATAGTCAGTCAGTCAATCATATGCAACATAGAACCTGGGATGTATTTTAGTTCAAGCTACTAAGCCGTATTATCTCAACGATATAAAACTATTCCTGGACAAATCTCAGAGTAGTAGAAAACATTAAGTATAGGAAAAGAAAAAAGGTGTAAGAACATTTCGAAACTCGGATTTTACGTGAAGACAAAAATGGAATACATCTGTGCTATTCCTAATGATCCTGAGCCATATAAATATATGTTAACTTGATGCAAGAATATCGTATGTTATACAGGAAAACAAAATAAATACTACATTGAGTAATCATTACATTGGATTAAAACGAAAATAATGTTGAACAAAAATCATACTGAGTGAATCAATATAATTTTGACTTTTCTTTCCATCATATCAATAACTCATTAGGTGATCGAAATGAAAGGTAATAGTTTCGAATCGCGAAGTAAACATCAGCTCTGAGATGTAACTACTGTCTTGTCCTATAGCCGATCAATTATCACGTGGCAAGATCGTCAATCAGAACACCGACTTTTAAGACCTCAGCCCTGTGCCGAACCAATGGTGCGTTAACTTGCACGAGCAGCCTAGAGTCTACTCTGAGTTTTTATTATTTCTTCTCACATAACCCTACCTGTTGAATCCAAAACACAATCTCAGCTTCCGTTGTATAAATCACGTATTTCAGAAATATGTAGTTTATATACAAGCAAATCAGACCTCATGATACCATAAAATACAAAATAACGATTATAAAAGATCTAGCCGAAAGCAACTGTGAATATGTGAAAGACTGTAACTAGTAGATTGGAAATAAATTAAGAATAGTTAATCGTATAATAGTAGTTAATATATCGAAAGAAAGTTTATAATAAGAGAAATACAAATATATATAATCTAGTTACTTGATAGTTATACAATGAGACTGTCTGCATAATAACAGTCCATAAATAATTCCTAGCAGTTACCATTCATTTATTCTTCGTTCGGATATAATAGGTACATATAACTGGTGGGTCCCAAATAAGACCAAACATTTATCCTGAATTCCTCTGCTAGTCACATTCCACTTGTTTCATAAAACATCTCTTTAGTGCTCACCCTTAACACTGCGCAAGTCAGTCACAGGCAATGTCGGACCTGGCATATATTGAAGCTACCACATCATATCAACACAGTGAAATGAAATTATCAAGATGAATGCCAGATTAATAGGAGTAATAACAGTAGTAAAGAAGATTAAGCATAAATAATATGACCCAAGAACGTATTCACGAAACATAAAGTGTTCTATAATTTTAAGAATCATAATGTAAGGGAGGACAAAGATTAGATCCATCTGCACCATTAAGACCAATTTTTAAAAAAATATCATCCAAAATCTATAACCGTTGGTTATGATAATCGTGTAGACTTTAATCAATTGATGTGCGTCTACTAGCGCAGCCCTATTCAGAAATTAACAGCGTCGTTTCTTGCAACGTGCTAAGTTGTGGTTGACTAATTCATCCACATTTGTTATGCTAGTTCACACTTTATCACAACCATTGTAAGATGCCATTCGTGTAAGTCATTGCTTTACTTCCAACTTGACTGACCATGTACACATCCGTACCTCCAAAAAAGGATAAGACAGAATATCAAATACTCTCTGATTGTATCATGATTTCTCAACTGATTTAATTCTTAAACATAATTCTACACTTAATTTGAATAAAACTTAGACTGAAGTAAAAGCATAAATATATATTCAGATAATGATTCATTTGTAAAGTCCATGCAAATTAAGCTGTACAATTTATAGTTAGCCATGAAATAATATCAAACATTCAGTCTATATTTCGTTAACAAGTTCTTTTATCAATAAAAGTATATACAACCAATAATAACTAAGAAAAAAATGCTGGACTTCCTATTTTATTTATAATTCAAAGAAAAAAAATAAAACGTTTACGGAAAATTTTGAATTTTTCTGGAGGAGGACGTAATTACCAAATATAGTGTACTGTCATACAGAGTTGATTACCACCATGTATAAGCTGTTCAGTATTAATCTGTTTAGAATTTAGGATTGATCAATGTTGTCTTGATTGATTTCAAGACCAAGTGATCATCAGTTTACTGTATTGATATTACCATTCTATACATTTGTTTAGACATAAAGTCACTCTTAGACTTCTTCCAGCTAACTCTTATACTAACTAACCTATTGAGATGTGTGAATAACTAGAGATATGTGTAACACATGTTATAATCATTTCAATGGGGTGAATGTTTATATCTGTATCAACCAATTTTCTACTGTTATCCTAAACTTTACTATTAATCTTATCCATTCGATTATTTCCTCGTACATGACCATCGCTTTAAACACAGTTGCACAGACCATATTTCACTGTCGTGAATTATTACGAAGTCAACTGTTTCACTGCATACTTCCCCACTGACGAACAAATAAGACATCTTATCTATACCACGCATAGCATAAGTTGACCAATATTGGGTAATCATTTTTTATCCATGCTTAGATTTGGTTGTTCACCGACTTAAAATAAATGAGGCGATCAATAATCCTAATTAGTTCTCTTTCTATAGTGAGGGAAGGCATAAATTCTGACTTGTCCTATATCGGCATTTTTATGCATTGAAATTTTATCAAAAGTTAAGTAATGATAACTAATATGGAGGAGTCCTAACAGACACTGTGTAATGTAGCTGATTCAGCTAAAAGTTCACTGTAATCTCTGACTCTATCTAAAGTTTTCGTGTGAAGGCCCTTCAGTAGGTCACTGTACTTCAGTACTTATTTTAATGACAAATAGCTCATATAAACCTGTGCTTCAACATAGTCAGATGTAGCTTTCAGGTAAAAAACAATGCAACCACAATTGTATGTCTCTTGATATTACAATGTTCTACTACTTACTACAGAGTAGAGGTTTACTTGATAAATCCACGATCTAGACTAAACTCTATCTTACTTTTAGATTCTTGTTGCTTCCGAACTCCATATTGTTATAACTTGTGACCTGAGTGCCCTGCTAATGTATAACGTAATGATACCACCAGTTGGAGAGCAGTAAATCATCGATCGGACCAATGATGTATAAAACCCATGAGAGCAGTCTAGAGTCCTTATTGGTCCTACTTTCCGTCTAGCCCAGCCAGTTAAGTCCAGAACACCAATCTCAGCCTCTGCGATATGAATCCTTTATGTCAAGCATACTGGGTTTATATACCGACCAGACAGACCACATCGTACCATAAAATGGGAAATAACATTTGTACAAGATTTGGCCAAAAATGGCTGTGAGTGTGGGAGGTAGTAATTAATAGGCAGGGCATAATTCAAGAATAGTAAATCGTATAATAATAGTTCATAGGTCAAAATAAAGCTCATAGTAAGAGAGACATGAATATGTATAGTTTACTTATTTAACAATATAGAAAGAAGTCAGCTGATTATCGATACTTGTATTTTAGAGATAATATTCGTCTAAACAATTCCTCTGTGATTGTCTTAAGATAATCTCTG